TTAAATCAAGCCTTTAAACTTATATTTATAGATTACATAAAGATTTGGAGTTGTTGGTTAAGGTTTGGATGAACCTTATGTAGAAATTAGATGATTAAGAGCAATTTTGGTAATGTAATATTGTTGTGTAACATCCTAAATTTCTAATCATGTATTAATGAATGATTAAGAATGAATTAGTGATTTAATATGGAATTAGAATTTTTGGATAGTGGAGTGTTATATTGACTCAGTAGGGTATTATATAAATAGATACGAGTGGAAGAGTGGAATCCCAAAGCAAACATGTGAGCATAATGAGGATTTTTCTCACTATACCACGTGCCATGGTGAAGGATAGATGCACCGTAGCGCATGGTGCAAAAGTTTGATTAATAAGACATGTCTAGCTCGTGGAAAATAGAAGGGAGAACATGAGAGAAAAGATCAAATTTGGAGAAGTACAAGGGATCTACTAGGGCAACCAAAATCAGGAGCAAGTATGGTGTTTCTGACTTGTTACTTATCAAGTAAGTCATGTACTGCCTTAACCTCCAAATCTACCTGGTTTTCACCTAGTTCTAACTGGTGAGAAATTGAATTCAGGAGTTTTAAGGAGTTGATTTCTTACCTTATGGTAATAAAAAGATTCTTCAGAACTAAACTAGTGCTTTGTGACTACTTGGAGTTGAAATGATAAAGCCTTGGAGCTGTAGCCAAGATTTGCCTCAATCTAGAGAGAGTAGTGAGAAAAAATTGCTAGAAAATGTTAAAGCTTGGAATGAAGGGTAATTAGTTGTAATGTGTGTAATCGAGTGTGAAACATGAATTTGATAGCGATTGAGTGCTTAAATGTAATGATTGGCACTTTTTGTCAATTTTGTGTAGATTCTAGTGTGTGATGCACAAGTTATGAGAAAGAAGCTTGAATAGGGTTGTTGGAACATGAGTAAACCTTTCTAGTAAATAGAAGGGTTGAAGTAACCATATAGTTTATTATGCTTGCTAACTATTATAAATGTGTAAAAGTGAATATCAAATGAGAAATTGTGCTTATGAGTTTTGTGCATGATTTGTTATTGAAAATGGTTTTAGCATGAAGATTGGTTAGTGAAATGATATTTGAAAGGCTATCGATTTCAAATGATACATATGTATATGTTATGATACTATCTGTTGTGAAAATGTGGATGAGTAGTGATAATTGTAAAAGAATATGATTATAGGGGGTGAGAGTTCACCTAGGATATGTGGGGATATGTGTATAGAGATATGTGAGTGAAAAATTCATATGGTAAGGCTGACACCATGGGACATCCGGTGTAGCATTATATATGCTGTTACCATGGGTAATCTAGTACAACATATTATAGGACTATTGTCATAGGACATCTGAGCAATCTAATAACTCCCCAATGCTCGATAGGGTGTGGTTAGGAGTCAACAATGCCTCTATCACAAGTGTGTGAAGAGGGAAACCATAGTTCGTAGGTGGATTAGATTACCTTTAGTTGGATGTTTCTACCACTGAAAGTGTGCTCGGATTAACAAGTGGTTGATCCACATGAGCCTATGATTTTGCATCAGAGAGCTTTGGAGGATCAGTGGATAAATGATCATGCAGAGGTGTAAAAGTCTTTAAAATATAATTTATATGTAAAAACAATGTTTTAACTACCATATATTTATATATATATATGTGCTACATTATGGTTTTCATTACTTTATAATGGTTATATATGGTAATAGGTATTAAATGAGTTATATTAGTTACTGAAATTTTTATATTACCCCTGGTTACTTACATTTTTAGGCCATGGTGCTAGTGGATTAAAGGGAAAGGATATGGGCTGAGTTGGCATCTCTTGCCTAAGTCTTTGTAAGAATTGGTGTAATGAATTTGTTACTAGTAGTTGTAAACATGTATAAGTTGCCTTAGGATTTAAAAATGTGCATATTATCATATTTGATGATTTTAAGCTTCCTAGCCCTTATATATGTATGAATGAGGAAAAGATTGGATAGGCTAGTGGAAGAATATGTATGTGTGTGAATATGTGATATGTGAAGTGGATGGATAGCAATTTGGCCATGTATGAAATTACACAAATGAAAATGATATTTTAGCCCAAAGGGTATAATAGGTGGTTTATAGGCCAAATATATGTATGTATGATGGATTGTGCATGTGTGTGGTCAATCAAATGTGTGTTGTTCATTTAGACATGGTCAATGCCCAAAAAGTAGCAAATGACGATTGGTTTCGAATTATGACACTTAAGTGGCAGAATTTTGTTAGAAAATGGTTGAATTGAACTTTAGTGTTTAATTTTTTGATAGACATATCGGCTTAAATTGAAACCAATGCCATTAGTTAGATTTTGAAATAAGCTTCACCTGGGTACTTGAACCATCTTGATCGGACATCGTATGTGAAAATGGCCTGTATCTAAATTTTAGATTAGAAATTGCCATTTGACAGCAAATTCAAGTGTGTGCGCCGTAATGCATGTACTCACGTGCCACGGCGTAGCAACTATGGCCTCTGTGCCATATGCTGCGGCACGTGTGGCACCAGTCATGGCGCACGATGCAAAGTTTTACTTTATTTTTTGGAATGCACATGTTTCTTTTGATATTAAATACCTGAATATTTATTACTTCTACTGTGTATTAGTTTTGTGTTATAAGTTTTCTAACCTAAGTGATTTATAAAATGATTTGAAATCTTTCTTAGGATCTTAAGGCCTTTAGTGTTTTCAAAATAAATGATTTTCATTTGATCAATAAGATTATAATAGAGTGCATGGTAATGTCAGCGAGGGCATTACTTGTTGTTTATGTGTTGGGATGTTAAATAGGGTTAATATAGCGTGTTGGAAGGATTGGTGGGGCTAAATTAAGATTTTAAGCAGAATGGGTACCTCTAATTGTATTACATAATGAGGTGATTGGTGTGGGATTAACAATTAAGGGTTTTATTGTGTAGATTAACCTTTGATCAAGTGTCGTGGTGCTAGTAGATGTGTGTGGAGCTATTAGTTAACCACGGTAACCCTTTTAGTGACAAAAGAGTTGAGGTAACTGGATTGTCTAATCTCCCTTTTTGTGTGTTTAGATAGTAATGTGTTAGGTTTCTAAATTAATGTTTTATTTTGATACTAGCATATTGATAATATGAAATTATGATTTTAAAGTTATGTGAAGTGGAATAAAAAGTTGCTTAAAAATTTTAGTATTTGGAGAGCTAAATGCTATTTGATGTATAATTACTTGTGAAATTCTATGGTTTAAGTGAAAATGAGAAATTGTGATAAATGATATGTTATAGATATGTGTTGGATATATTAAGCATGTTTGGAATAATCATTGTGAGAAACAGGGAGTTCACCCTAATGTGTTATCGGGACATTGTTTGAAAATCTGCATGGTATACTAGCACCGTGGAGGCCCCGATACTCAATATTGTATTGTTTGAAAGTCCTAGCACTATAAATGGTAGATTGGGCATTGACACCCCTATTATTTATGGACAGAAAAAATCTATGGTTCATAATGGGTGAAGGCGCTCTTGGTTAGGGTTGCCTCCTATTAATAGTGAGCTTGGACTAATCTAGTCACATGAACTTGGTTCTATCAAATTGTCAGCCCACAAATTCAATTAGAAGACATAAGGAGGGTATTAGGTGGTGTGATGATCATACATATCATACTATAACCATATGTGTGGATTTATGAGACATATTATATGTTTTACTATGCCACTTTAAATATGCACAAACTGTTCTCACATATGAGTAATTGATCACACTATTTGGTTATTGAGTCATCGACTCACTCTGTGATTACATTTTACCGGTGAAGGCTCTAATAGAGGCAAGAAAAAGAAAGGTGCATTCGAATACCATGAGAACTAGTTAGTGTTTGTATAGTCCTATCTGCTTCCTTTGGTTTGCAACAAATATTGTATGTATATGCCAACTTAGGACATAGCACTTGCATGAATTCTGTTGTTAAGCATGGGCATCTCTTATTAGGTTTGTTAATGTTGTATTTTTGGATATATTTGGGAACATTCAAAATGAATTATAGTTCTTTTTTGTATTATACCTTAAACTAATTATTTGCTTAAATCTTTGCCTAAGGTTTGTACTTCTCCATCAAAAAAGATTATGATTATGTCATTCACATTTATTATTTATTCAATTCGTTGCAAATTAACACAATTAAGCTAAAGTTCACATTAATATTGATTTCAAATATGTAATATGTAACAACAATAATGCTCAACAACATAGTTTATCCTACAAGAAAGTAACTTTAAAGACGCACGAAAACTAACCTAATTAGATAACATAAAATTTTAATGTCATTATTATGGGTATGCTTTATTTTTTAAAACCTAAAATGAAAAATTTAAAAGGTAATTTAAAAATTACGTAAATAAAAAACATTAAAATAATGTTATAAAAATAATATAAAATTTAAATTTATTATATATAAAAAATATTACCATTAAAAATATTGAAAAAATTTAAATATTAAAACAAAATTATTGTAAGCCTGGATACGAAAAATTATAATATAAAAATATGTTTTAATTTATGATAAGAAAATAAAATATTAAAATAAAAATAGAAATAAAAATAATTAAACTTGAGGAAAAAATTAAAAGTGGGGTCATTTGGTTAAAAAAACAAGAAGAAGGAGGCCCACAGAACTGTTCATTTTCTTTTTTTAAACAGTAAAAAATTGTATATTCTACTACTATATGTAAGATAAAATATAAGATTATTGCATTTAATTAATTTCTTAAAATGTATGAGTTGACTATCTTTTATTTATTTAGAAATGAAAGTAGTATATATTAAAAATTAACAAATTAATTAATTAATAATTAACAATCATGATAAGTTTAATCAAAGCGTTTTTATAAAGTAAGTTAAAAGAAAACGCTCCCAGAATTTCAAATTTCAATTAAGATGGCTTAACTCGCAAGCTTCCAACCTGGCGACCCATTACTCGAATTAATGCAAGTATGAACAAACACAATATTCTAACCCTGGAGACTACCTCGTCTCTCCTTGTAGATGCAGCCGCCACCTCAGTTCCCATTGAGATTCCGTTCGTTCTCATTGTCAAGCCTCAGCGAGTCCCTCTGCCAATGAAGAAGCATCGTCACTTAAGCCCCATAGATGCAACCCCAGTTGTCATTCAAGATCCATTGCCTTCACTCAAGCTTGAACACGTCCTTCCGCCGACCTTTGTCAGTTGTCTTCATTGATTCCCTCTGCTGTCATCATCAAAGACCCATATTGTCTATTTTCTCGCAGTTCACTCAAAAGCCTTCTTTCCTCCTCATTTTGATTCTCACTCAGAAACACACCTATCCCAAACCCTATTCCTCCTCTTTTCCATTTGCCACTCACCGTTCGAATATCTGTTCAACCTTACTTAATCTCTACAACTCGTTCACCCTCTCATTTCCTCCACAAGTCCATGAATGGCCTTCGCCTCTTCTTCTCAGTGAGACTGCTGCCCTCGACTGCTTTTCGCATGAATCGCCTTCATTATCTAGGTTTGTTGATTTGCTCGAACTCTATTATGGGCTGAGACTTGACGAGAGTAAAAAAGCTATGTTTCAATTCCTGAATTTGTTTGTAGCATCAAAAGTTCTTTATTTGTTTATATATGTTACTTTTTTTTCCATGTTTTCTAGTAGCTGTTACATCAAATCTTATATGTTTGAACTTTGAACATATACATTGATCGGAGAAAACTTGTTGCTGGTTTTTCTAAGTAGTTACATTAATCTGACGCTATGTGAGAATGGTCGATGAAATTCAATTCTTTGAGTTGAATAAGGGGGCCAAAATACCTTTTGTTGGTTTGGGTATGTGGCGTGCTGAGCTGGGCATCGTTGCTTATGCCATAGCCGCTACCATCAAGGTTCTTTGCTATTTTCCTTATCTTTATTTTGGTTTCTTTATTTTCTTTTGCCCCTAAAATATATTCCTATGATGAGTTTTTAGGAGCTATTTAAGAAAATTTTTACAGCTGAAAAGACCATTGTTTCAACTGCTTTATTGTTTCTTAGTTGTAAAACAAGGAGGGGATTGTATATAATATTATATTGATGTTATTTGTAATTAATCATAATATTTCAAAATTTTATTTGAAAACTTGTTTGATGTTTTGATTTGTCCTTTCTCTGTTACCACACGAATTTGAGAGCAACCAATGATAAAATTGTAAGGCAGGTTGGATATCGCCATACAGACTGTGTTCAAGCTTATGACAATGAACAGGAGGTGGGAATCATTTAGATTCTTCTTCATTGAAAAAAAAAACAAAGAAAGAAAAAAATGCATGCTTTTTCTTGTGTTATTGTTTTTAGGTCTATTAGAAGCTATTTCCTCTTTGCCTCCCTCCCTTTCCTTCAACATTCTTTAGTTTAATGCAAGCTGACAACACCTAAAATTGATTAACAACATATGGTTTATTTTATATAGATTGGACCGCCTTGAAGAAACTTTTTGATGATGGTGTAGTTATGTGAGAAGATGTGTGGATCACCTCGAAACTCTGGTTAGCCATTACATCAAATCTTGAACATACACATTGATATAATTAGACGACTAATGTTCAGCATTTAGAAATATCAATTTCTGCTCTTATCGAAATTTTGTGTGGCTTGCTCTTGGTCAACATTGATCTTTATCTTTAAAGCTGACATTTTTATGGCATATTTAATAGAAAACTGAGAAAAAAAAAAGCATCTCTTTTTACCTTACGGTCATCTTTGCAAAACTCTTCTCACTAAGGTTGATATAATGATAGTGCTATAGCTAAAATGACGTTAAAAGAACATATTGGATAAATAAACCTTTTGCTTTTGAAATTTGATTGAAATGTTTTTGATGTGTTAAAATCAACTTTTATTTGTTAAACTAAGCTAAATTAACATAAGTCATTCCATCACAGGCAAAGGAAAAAAAATGCATACAAACATACGTATAAAAGATATATTTTACACCAAGCTATTGGTTAACTTTGTATGGAAGTTGTTGTATAACATAGGGCATTGCTGTTGTTTCAACGCTCGAATTGAATTGGATTGGATAGCATAGTCTATGTTGGAAGGATACTTTGAACCTATACAATTCCTTTATAATGTGCAATTGTCCACTTATTCTAACTCATCCTCTAGAACTTGTCTCTATTCTTTTTCAAGACTACATTTGCTTTTGCATTGTGAAGACGATAAAGGCATTCATATAAAATAGCTATTTTAGCCAAAAGGCCAACCTTAAGATGATTGAGTCCCTTGCTAACCCTTTTGAGCCTACTAGTTTATATTCTTTCTTTCATCATACATGATACCCTTACTCTAAGAATGCATGATATATCATATTGTACTGCTTGGGATCCATTGGCATATCTAGAACTCAAGTTGTGAAATTCTTGTTACTTGTTTATCAATGTTGCAAAGGTGCAGGTGTGAAGGCAAATAATTGTATGCAACAACAATGCAAAAGAAAACCAAAAAAAAAAAACAAAGCAAGAAAGTACAAAAGAAAAGAAAAGAAATCCGAATTGAGGAAAAGAAAAGAGAAAAGAAAAAAAATGTAATGTGAAAAAGAAAGGAAAAAAAGGAAGAAAGAATGTTAGAGTCAAAAAGAAAAAATTGAATGAAACAAGTTATTGCTTGAGTATTAAAATCACCTTGCTAACTTGTGTTTTTGTATTGCATGCATTCACTTCTTGAGACTTGCTTGTGCCTTTGGAATCCATTTGTCTTGACTAGTATGCATATATTTCCCATTCCTTTCTACATGCATTCTTACTCCCTCTTTCATGCCTACATTACAACCTTGGAAAAGACCATTTGATTCACATGTGCATTTGCTACTAGTTAGTGGAGATTTAGAACATTGACAAGCCTATGATAGAGTGATTAGATAAGTGGAGTTGAGTGAAATGACCCTGTACACTTGTGAGATGAGTATAAATACTATACCTTGTGTGGCTATTTTGTTTGATTCATTATTGCCAAGTGCTTGCGTCATGGACTTAACCTCTTTGCTTCTGGTAATCAAATGGATGGTTGATTGATGAAAGGTCAATGCCATTTGAGCTTGCAACTTCTACCACTTCATTTTCTAACTGTCATTATTTCCTTTTTCTCTTGGTTCTACTTTTGAAATGATTTTGACCGAAGTGCAAAAGAGTAAGTGTGGGTGAATTGATTAGAGTCATATTTTTTATATATATTTTGTCTATTATTTCTTATATCTTTTTGTGCAAATATTTTAAACGAGGAGAGAATGAAAAGGGTAGAGTGGTTAATGATGTTGAAACCAAGCAAATAGTCTTTGAATGCATGTTCTTTTGGATTCATTCTCACTCTTATTGCTTTGTAAAACCTTGAGCTTGATAATGTAGATTGAAACATGAAATACCTCAGTAAGTTACTTGCATAAGTTCATCCAACATAATCGAAGAAAACAAAAATAATCGATAGGTCCTATAACATTGTTATTTCTTTTTATTTATGTAATTATTGATTATCGATTATTCACTAATTTCATGTGCTATTTCATATGCAATGTCTCATTCACTAATTTTCATGTTAGTTATTTAAACAATTTTGTATTGAATGTTTAATTCAATTTGTTATTTATTCTTCTTAGTGATAATACCATTTCTTCTATCTTTGTCTTCGTTAAGTCTGATAGTTTCTCTCTGTGATTGTTTTATTTCTCACTTCTTCTTTACCCTTTTATTAAATATAGTTTTTTAAAAAAAACTAATTATTTTATTCTTGATTGACCCACCCTATGCATGTAAAAGCTTGAATATTTATTTTGCTAATATCTTTTTACTTATGTAATTATTGATTATCAAAAGTCTTGTTTATTTATTTGCTTGTTAATTATTTAAAAAATTGGGTACTGGTTGTTTATTTCAATTTTTGTTTTATTTCCCTGTCCTGCTTTGTCATTTTAATAAATTTATTATTTACATAATTAATTATTATGTTTTTGGTTGTTTCATCTTTATGCATGAGAAAGTTTCAATATTTATTTTGCTAACATAATTTTAATATCAATGCTTGCTTTTATGGAAATTGTGTGGTTTGCTCCTGGTTAACATTGATCATCTTTTTCTTTAAAGCTAAAATTTTTATGGCATATTTAACAGAACTAAAAAGAAAGAAGGCATCCCTTTTTACCTTCTGGTCGTCTTTGCAAAACTCTTCTTACTAGAGTTGATACAAGATGCACTTCCTATATAAATGTTTATAGCTCTGTACCTAAAACGACACTAAAAGATTTACCCAAAAAAATGATGTTAAAAGTACTGATTGAATAAATGAACCTGAATATTTGATTTAATTTGATTGAAATATTTTTAAATAAATGTTTATAGTTCTATGGCTACAATGACATTAAAAGATTTACCAAAAAAAAAAATGACGTTGAAAGTACCAATTGGATAACTGAACCTGAATATTTGATTTAGCTTCATTGAAATATTTTTAATGTCTTAAAATCATCTTTTTATTGTTAAATTAAGCTAAATAAACATAGGTATTCTATCACAGGCAAAGGAAAAAAAAATTGCATACAGACGCATCTAAAAGATGTATTTTATTAGAAGGATATATATTATGATTTAAAAGTTAGCTTAATTATATGTTTTTTACTTTTAAATAAATTTTGGTTGATTATATGAATTCAATTGATGAAATAGTTGGATGAAAATTAATGTCAGCAGTATACATGAGTCTTTCCAATATTATTTCTTATATCATTTCCTAATTTATATCATGCAAATCAAGATAACTTTTTTCCTCTTAGGATAATGCACACCGGAGATTTTATGAAATTTCAGTACATTACTACTATTTTTTGCTTGAAAATGAGATTTCGGTTAAGAAGGTGCTCACAAGTTTTGAGGGTTGGTGTTTGAATATTTTGCAGTCAAGATGTCAATTTTATTTTGCTAAAAAAAAAAAAAAAGATGTCAATTTTAACCATGCGTTGCCAAATCCAAGCCTAGTGATTGAAACGGTGCATAGTGAAGCATGGAATGCCTTGGCCATTGAACAATCTAAATTCCCTTCTCCTATTGACACTTGTGAGTATACTTATCATTAGAAATTCTATTAAGGCTGTTGTTGGTATTGTTTGTCGGGATCACTGGGCTCCTTTGTTTGGGGATTTGTGTATATGGGTGGGTTTTAGTTGCCATTCACTCGTTGGGTATCATCTTGCAACTAATGCTTGCAAGGTAGTGCGCCCTTTGGGGTGCATTTTGGAACCATTACTCTCTTTGCTTTATCTCATACACTTCTAGTTCATGTTGTAAGATGGGCATTGGTTAATTTTTCTGCTGCTTGTTTGTCACGTTTGCTGGTTTTTTTCATTGGGTATGTTTGCCACTTTGCTGCTGTTTCTAGCATACTAGTTGCTTTGTTTTTAGTTAATAGAATTATGAAAAAATTAGCTCAATAGCCTCAAAAAAATACAACTCCCATAAATTATGGAAGATGTTTTTGAATATTTTGGAATATAGCCTATTCATAAAATAAATTAGATGTGTTTTTACTTCTTTATCGTCAAAATAAATTTATTATTAAAAGAGAATATACCTGATTTCATTTTTATGTATTATTAAAACAAAATATATCTTATTTCATTTTTATCTCTCTGATTTATTATCTCTGAATATTTTTTTCATTATATTTTTTGATTTGATTTTCCTTGATTTGATTTGTCCATCTGTACAATTCTTTTCTTCACCATCTTCATCACAAATCATAGAATCTTTCTTCTCATACAATGCTTTCCTCTATCTGTTTATCATCTTTGTTTTTCCCAAACATTATCATGACATTGAAGAGAAAACTACATTATCGAATAGAAGTTGTCTTGTATTCTTTTTTTGAAGGGTGAAGAGTATCATCTATAATCAGATTTTCATCTTCATATATCCAAGTAATATCTTCACTGAATCAGTAAATCATTTGTTCCTAATCTATTATTTGTTGTCATTGATCATGCAATTTGTTTGAATTTCTAATAGAAAACATATTATTTTCTCATTGTTCATAATTTTTTATTTTTTTATTTTGGGTGTTTGATTTTATATGATAAGCTAAGGCATTTGTAATTTTTTTTTTTGAACCAAGTTTGATTTGTTTTAGGCAAATGAGTATGGTATTTTTGTGTTTCTCATTAACATGAGTATATCAGTGATATACTATTGTATATCATTGATGAAGCATATCAGTGATAACTTACCAACACCATGTAATCTTGTAGATATGAGGATGCTTAATCTCATCATTTCTTCTGATGAAAAATGGGATTCGAACAACCGTTGCGTGGATGGTTCATACCTAGAAGTGCTTATGGAAGATACAACTTCATATCTTGATGTCATGGAAATTGTGTATGAGAAATTCTGATTGGATGCAAGTCATAAGGTCAAATTGATGGTCTTTCTTAATATTGAAACTTCAACATATAGTATTTTAGAAGTCAAGAATGAATGACAATAATTTGATATGGTATTTTAATTCGTTGAAAAATTCTAATCTCTTTAACTTTCCATTTATTGTCTCTATTTTAAATGAACCTTTTTGTCCATACAATAAGTGTTTGAACCTTTCCATGAAGGAGGGAGTTCCATAACTTCATGTTCTATTACATTTATCAATAATAAGCATTGTAGTGGACCTTATGAGCTTTAGCAAATGGACGATATTAAGAAGGGAGATGCATTTTTTAGCAAATCAGAAGTTCAAAAAGTTTTGCAACTCTTAACTATGAAGAGGACTTTTGAATATAAAACTCTCAAATCAAAGAACATGAAGGCTTGTTGTTGTACTCTCAAATTAAATGGTGGAAGGCTTGTTGTTGCTTGTAGTGTTTATAGTTGTAAGTGGTATGTATGGGCCTCAATGATTTCTTGTACTTAGGTTTGGGTCATTAGACAGTATGTTAAGGACCATACCTGTGCTGTTAACATCGTGTATTGTGATCATAGACAAGCAACAAGCCTTATCATTAGTGAATGTGTGAAGCAAAAAGTCACGATGGAGAATGTAATGATCTAAAATCAATAATTAAGCATATGCATAAGGAATTTGGAGTTGGTATTAGTTATTACAAGTCATGGAGAGCAAAATAACTTGTTTTGGAAGTAATTCAAGGTTGTCCAGTGGACTCTTATGTCCAACTATCTTCCTTGTGTTATGCTTTGGCTTACACAAATCTTGGTACATATTTATTATTGATATATATATGTTTATTAATGATATATTCAGACAGTAATTGAAATAGAAATATTATTTTATTTAGATAGTAATTATGTTATGTATCCTACTTTATTGTCTCATTTATTAATAATATGATACAGGTACTGTTACTACTATTGAAGATGGCGGTAATGGTCATTTTAAGTATTTCTTTGCATCGTTTATTGCTTCTATTGAGGGATGGAGTTATTGTTGGCTAATTATATTGATTAATGGAACATTTTTTAGGAACAAATATGTGGGGACTCTTCTAATTGCATGTACTATAAATGCGAACAATTCAATCTTTTCATTAGCATATGTAGTTTTTGACTCGGAGATTGATGCTTCTTGGGAATGGCTTTTGTATATGTTGAATAGTGCATTATGTTATCATCAAGACCTAGTATTTGTTTTAGACAGAAAAAGTAATATCGTAAAGGCTATGTCTAACGTATTTTTTGATGCTACCCATTGTGCTTGTGTACAACATTTGTTGGCTAATATAAGAACAAAGTTCAAACACCCTTTAGTTGCCGATATCTTCAATCATTATGCTAAGGTATATAAGTTTTTTGATTTTGAACTTGAAATGAAGAAATTAGATCAAGTGGCACGTAGCATTCATGATTACCTTTTAGACGTGGGTTATGAGAAGTAGTCACGTTATTCTATGAGAAGGTATAATATTATGATTTCTAATATATCTAAAAGCATTTGTTCTAGATGATGCAAGAGACTTACCAATTATACCATTGATTGAGTTTATTAGGAAAAAGCTCTAAGATTGTTTTTATACACAGAGGATGCATGCTAATTTTATATCTTCTCATCTAACATCATAGGCTGAAAATAGTTGTCTGAGCAAATAAATCTTGGTAGACACACAAAGGTAATGTTTTACAATTGAACATATCTTCATTGATATACTATTGAATATCATTGATATATTGACTTTGAAACTTATTATTGTTATATTGTGTTATATTTTTATTGTAGGTTCAACCAAAAGATGTAAATGAACTCACTGCAGTGCATGACAAATCTAGTTTTATTGTTTACTTAGAGACCAGAAGGTGTAATTGTAACAAGTGGCATTTTAAAGAGATTCCTTGTTCTCATGCTTGCATAGTGATTAGTAAACAACGCTTTGCGCATATGCTTTTGTTTCTAGGTATTACACAGAAGAGTATTCATATAGTTGCACATATAGGGGAACAATTCATTTATTGAGCAATCAATGTGATTGAGAAATTTCTAGTGAAGTGCTTGAAAATAATTTGATGCCACCAGAGATAAGAAGAGATGCCAATAGACCTAAAAAGACATGAATTCCATCAATCGCTGAGTTTAAGAGAATTGTTAGGTGCAGTCCTTGTGGAAAATTTGGACACAACAGACCTACTTGCAAGAACCATATACCTATTGTATTTAGCATCCCAAAGAAGCAAAAGTCCATGGTTGGATCTACTAGTTAAATTTAATTTTTTTTAACATTTTAAATTTATTTCATTTTTTCCATAAGTGAAACTTACTAGATTTAGATTTGTTTTGGTTATTCATATGTTTTGTGTCATAGTACATTGCTAATGAACGTTATTTTTTTTTAAATATATAGTCATAATTTTATACCCAGTATATGAATTTCTCAATTTTAGATCAAGTATATGAATTGCAATTATGACAATTTTAAGCAAGTATTTTGAAATATATATCTTTCATACTCCAAGAATGATTATGCAATCCAACTATGTAGGCAAGAGATTTAAGTGTCTCAACAATATCCATTTGCCTTGCCTTGTGACCTTATATATATCACAATCATCCAAGAGAAGTAATGCTCCTAATTCATAAGTAAATCTTGACCTGAATTTGAAAAAAATTGTGCTTTTTATGCAATATCCAACCTAAAACACTCAATGGAGGAAACAAAAAAAAAATCATCAATATGGAATTGACCATAAAGGATTCATATTTCATCACCTCTAAATTAAAAGTCTATTTCCTTTGGTCATTTCATCAGATATATATTTATATCAACAATAAACAAAAGTATATCAGCGATATAAGAATATAATTCATATTGATCATCTACTTATAAATCTATTAAAGGAAACAAAAGACTAAAATTAACTGAAATACAAAAGGCTAAAGTTGCATCAAATTTATTAGTCCTTCAACTTTTCTGTAGTTGATTGAGTTAGCAATTCATAACTAGGACTGTCATATTGATCATCCTCTTTTTGGTCCTTTTTTTTTATCTTTAACCTCATTTTTTTATCCATAATTCGCAATGAAAGGAGACTAAAGTGCAGCAGGTGCCTTTGTTGACCTTTTAAGCCTTTCAACTTTCGTCCTATTAGCAATTTTCTTGATTCTTATCCTTTTTTGTTAGTCTTTTAGCGGTTCAACTATTTTGTCATCCTAGAAAAACAAAGAGTTAATAGCAAACATATGTTATAAAAGTATATTGAAATAATTGTTTGTAAGGTATGTTGTTTATGCAGCACCATGAACTATAACAATTAATATATGACTAAGTATATCATTGATATCTAACAATACGATACTGATATATATATATATATATATATTACTATGATGTACTTATTCTATAAAAACTTCAACGATGAACATGAATTACATTGTCAACGAATGATAATTTGATATAGTTTATATATGAAGTGTAACTTGTACCTGCTCCTTTTCCTCCATTTTCTTGTTGGTATTTCTTGATTCATTGGGATGGCAATCTTCTTGTTCATTAACCCTTTGTTGGATATAATGAGTTGTGACATTATGTGTTAACTAAAGTTTTGATGATAATAAATATAGATGAGTTAACAACTTATGCTTAATTGCTTTCATATATAAAGTGTTAACTATGACTATAGAACAAATGCTTTAAAGTGTTTTTATTTATGATGTTTCATATTACATGAAATTTAGAAAAATGATTTGTGTGCATCAAAGTTATTTTATACTATCATATTTTCCTTATCTTGAATTGATTTTATATCCAAGAGTGATTCAAAGTATCGTCTTTCATAACTTGAATAAATGCATAGTGACAATTGGACTAACATTGCATTCATACTATATCATTTAAGGTTATCCAAAGTGAAGATAAGAGTGAGCATGAAGAGGAACTAAGTTGAAATCATCATTTGTATGATGTACTCATGATTGAAGAACATAAACATAAAGAGAAAGATGATTTAAGAAGAGCTTAAGAAGATTGAAGTCATCCATACAAGCTTAGATGCACCTTAGAAGCCTTGGACTTGATAGGTATAATATCATTAGGCTAGAAGTCTTTATGTTAAACTCATTGATTTAAATATGAGATGTTGGCTCAAGATATCTTAAATCAAAACATGCACTTTAGTTTTTAAGAGAAAAGGTGAGATATAGTTTTCTATAATCATAGTTTTTATCTTTGATCATATTGTCTCATAAGTTTCTAAATGTTTTGATTATTAACTCCATAAAGTTTTTAAATTTTTTCTCTTTACTCAAAATGGAGTTAATTTTAAAAAGTTATGAAAACTTCAAGTCTATGCCTTGAAAGGGAAATTGTGCAAAAAGTCATTTTTTACCTTTAGTCATGTTTTGCATCATATCTCTCACTAAAAAGATCATTTTAACATGAAACATATCTCATTTGAAAATAGACTCTAATATATTTTCAATGATAGTTTATTTGCTTAAATTGGAGTTTTAATGGGAAAGATATAAACTTTAAAAATTTAGTGTTGAGATATTAATTCTGCACAGATTTCAATCTTGACCTTTGTACACTCTTTTGATCATATCTCAAAATATATGCTAAATTTGAGTGTGAAACTTTTTCATTAAAACCTAGACTTCAAGAGCTTTCTAAAAATATAGAAGTTGTCAAATATTTAGAGTTGTATTGAGTGAGTTAGGACATTATGAAGTTTTGCATAGTGCAGCTGCATAGTCATATGTGAGAGTAGCTGAGACACACGCGTGATTTTGCGCCAGTGCTTAAACTTGCATGTGAGCACTTCCAAATCACACGTGAAATGACCTCTAAAAGCCCATTTTCATACTGAATATGTTCTACTACTAAACCATGCATAATTCTGCCTGTCATATGTGTAGAAGCATTAAACAAGCTATATAAGCCAAATCACGTGTGAGACACTTTCAAAACTCACATGATATGTCATTTTTGCTTAAAAAACCTCCAAAACATGCATGATTAAACACTGGACACTCACAAGAAAATGCACCAATGCCTATATTCACTGTGTAACATCTTTAAAAGGTCATTTAATGTCTCTAACACATTTCACTTCATAAGCTATAAATTCAACACTTTAAACTACTCTTGATATGAGATTAACCTTAAAAATTATCAAGCTATGAAATTCATAATCATATTACTCTTTTTATATAAAAATCATCATTCTTGAGCTAAGATCATTTATATCTTCAACAATTGAGTATTAGAACTTCATTCTACTCATCATTACTCTTAGAGAGAGTCTCAATTGAGTGATATAGAAACTTTAAACCTTTATAAAGGTGAGGGAGAGATTTTCCTTGTAATCAAAAAAAGTTATTCTCTTGGGAAAAAGAAGATCACTAGTAAAGTGAGGTGTTGTAAAGGCTTATAAGTGCCTCAACTGAACTTGTAGATATCTTGAGGTGGCAAGCACACACTCAAGCTTGTGTTATAGTAAAGAAATCTCAAGTAGTTATTAGGAGACTGGATGTCGGCTTAAGAGGAGGAGCTAAAATAGGATAAATCATTGTTTGTAATCTCTCTTCCCTTAACTCTTTACATTTCTAGCAACCTCAGCTCATACTATGTTTTAGTGTTTAAAATATAATTTGATATATTTACTTTCTCTTACTCGAACTTGCACTTAGAAATTTTTTCTAAACATTCACACACATATTAAGCTTGTGAAAACAACTTTGACATTCTCACACATA